ATCACATTTCACACAGTAGCAATAACGATAACAACAACATTAGCATTAGATGAAGACATAAAAGAGTAAGGAAAAACCAAAGAGAGCCACCACCAAGAGAAACAACTTGCATGTACGCAAATATTTATATATACATATATATATATACATATATGCAAAGCAAAAACTGCCAAAAGAAATAAGAGAAGGCAGCAACAATGACAATAAGAAAGTAGCAACACTGGTTCTGTACTGTACTGGCTGATTGACTGACTGACTTGGCTATCTATGTACGACGTTGATGATAATAACGATAATGATGTTTTATTATAGCCATGTTGCTTATGGCGTTGCAAGCGAAGGCGGACAATAGACGGCGTCTTAAATTGACCACACATATACACTTATACGCATATATATACGCATATACGTGTATGTTCGCATATTGATATGCGCAAGGACTCAAACAAGACACCTATGCTTATATACCTCAGCTTACATGAGAGATTTGCGTGCAAAAAATGTTTGCTTCAAATTTCCTTTTGCCAATCTTAACTATGGCTTCTTCTTTGTCTGCTTTTTTGAAAGGTGGTCTAACAAGGTGTACCTGTCTATCTTCATATATACCCTGTGCGTATATGTGTGTATGTATGCGTCGACATAGTAAAATATGCGCGAAGAGAGCAAAAAGTGCGCAATATTTTCCAGCAGAAATTTAGATATAAATAAAAACTATTCACGCCTGGGAATTGAAATGGATCTATATTTAATTTGATGGCTTTCCCTTAGTTGAAGAAATTAAGACTATTTTATGACCCAGGGACGATCTTTTAATGAAATCATGTTATATGAGGGACTTAGATTTGCCTAATTTTAAGCACTTATTATTAAAATTGTGTTCATACAAATTTCTAGATTTTCCCGCTGGTATATTTTCCAGCTTAAAAAAGCTCATCCTGTACGTTTGCCTACAACAAATTCAATGTCTTAAGTAAATAAGCGAACAAGTTTCTACTCAAGTTTTTCTAGAATGCACTTAAAATTATTTACGAAGATTTCCATTGACTATGGGCGGTTTAGACAAAGTTCGTAGTATTGTATGTAAGGAGAGTAAGCATGCAGCGAGTTTTTAAAACTTGAAATGTTTTAAGAAGACTGATTTAAATTGTCCTTCTATTTGTTAGTTTGCAACACACGTAACAACGGCAGTTAAAATGAAAGGTGAAGATTTCCAGTTTAGGGAAAGGTAATAGTGTGTTTGACAAAAGTTTGTAAACTGAATATGAAAAACTTATTAAAGTTAAGTATAATTACATCAATTTGTAAAAGAATTTTAACAATCAACCGACTTACATAGAGATTTAGTAATATTCATCACATAGGCCTTAAATAATAATTGATGATCAGACGGAGAGAATATAATAGCTGCAATATTTTATATAGAACATATGCATACAATAAGTTTAAGCAAATTGATTTAGCGATTTAACTAAGGCCATTCAGTTTATGGAAGTTTTAATGGATAAAGTTCGGTTAAAACCTGGTACTCAGTGGATTTTACAAATAAAATAAAATTCTGGCAATTTTTGCATACTTCGTGGTTAATTTGAAAAATCAGTAAGATGCGAGCACCACATGATGAATGTTTAGTATCCTCCGTCTTTACCATACGGTTAACGAAGCAAATGTTCCTTTGAATAGTTAGCTTTTCATTTGGCTGATCAACGTAACTACATACGGATACATATTTTCAGCTTTGTATTGCAATTTTAGAGCAAGCGGTTTCTTAATAGGGTCTTTAGCGGGAGTAAGCAAAGAGCGATTGCAAGTAAGCACAACGAGGAAAAAAACTAAACTATTATTTAAAAAGTCGCCATTAAAAAGTATTTTTTCATCAAATAGCATCATTTAGGGTATAGTTTTGTCAATGACATTAACATCCCGCGTATGGTACGAATGTTTTCATATAAAAGTATAAAGCCTCCCTTTAATATAACTTGTGGAAAACATGATTAATACCCGCTTACATCATAAACATACGACACTCCACAAAAAATCAAATACTTTTATTAAATGCAAGCAGTTCATTCATTCTATGGTAAAAAATTTATTATGTCTTGCTTGAGATAGCTTCTTGTAACTTAGATTAAGCCTGGAGTTTGCGATAGTCTAATATTATTAGGTAGGCCGGAAGACAGACGCCTAAGTGAATATGATTAAGACGGTCCGGCTATACATGGGACTTTCACGAGGTTTCACATCTTCCCTTACCACCTTACTAATAAACTGTTTATTAAGGAATAGTCTTCTTAATTGTTAGCAAAATAAGTTCACGGTGTTTATTTTTTCCTATATTTTTTAATATACGAAAGAAGATTTTAATTTTTCCGCTTCTTTTTCCACGAAGCCTTCATAACGATGTGAACATCACTACTATTTCCGCGGTTTACATATGAACAAAAAAAAAAAAACTGCAACAAAAAAAACAACAGCTGTACTCTGCAATCTCCCTTACACACAGCGGTAACGAAGAAATATCCAGACAAATCATAAATTTGCTGCTTGACATTTGTACGTAAACTAAGTCATACATCTTCACGATATAAGTCTCACAACTCGATCTATGAAAGAGCCGTTATTCTCTTATTTCTCTTTTGAACAGTAATTGCTCTTAAGACAAAAGAGCGGAAAAGTAAATGCGGCGACTTAAAAATTCAATTTGAAAAGTTGCGTTCTTTGTTTGAACGCACAAGTCGCTCATACAGGTCGTATATTAAGCCCGGACTTGTTTGCTGTCAAAGAATTGCAACAAATCTGTGAAGAATAACAGCAGCAAAGAAGATAAGTTGCGTGTTCCATTCAGGCAACTACTAACTAGGCCTGCCATTGTAAATCCCAATAACAAAACATTGCCGATATTTTATTATATTCAATGCAACCATTCAGTTTTGATTAGTTAGTCTGGCATACGTACGCCCGCTTGGTGTTGTTGTTTTAGGAGGCCTGAAAATCTTTGGCAGACAAGAAACCAGAAGAAAAACTGTTTACACAAAAAGAGCAGAAGCACGCATCTCAGCATTTCTTCTTAATCAAGACTTTTGTTGCGTTGCTTTACCTTACCTTATGTAAACGTAATGTTTTTGTTGTAAATACGCACACGTCAAAATCTTCAAACATCCAATCCATTCATATGCATTTATGTGCGTAGACTAGAACAGCTTTGGCAAATTTAACTGGCATGGTGGTGTTGGTTGGGCTTTTCTTAGTGATAAGCAAAAAAGAGGCGAAATACCATTAGCCAGGTCACAATCATACGTGCACACGCATTCGTATCATTGGGAATGGTGGTCAGATGTTTACTAACAACAAAAGTATGCGAATCCAAAGTATTCTTCATATGGACGAAGAAGATATCTTTTCAACAAAAATCTTTTGCCAGTGTGAGTCGGGCTGTTAGAGAGTCTTGCGAGTGCGTTTGCACATTACGACGTCGACGTTTACGACGTCGACGTTTACGTCGTGAGCAGCCTACTACACGTTTTTTTACACACGTATACTTCCTCGCATGCCGTGTCAATGTGTGCGTTCTATCCATCCTTCCACCAAACGGTCAAGCAGTTGAACAAGAACAGCAACAGCGACAGCAACAATAACAATCGCTTATAATATAAGAATAGGCCTACATGCGTGTTTTTGTTTCTCGTGTTTTTTTTTTTGTTTTTTTTTTTCGGTGAATGCAGAAGAAAGATGACGACGACAACGGTAACAGCAACAATGACCAACCTGCTATCGTCGCAGGATGTGTGTGCGAGTTGTGAGAGGAGGGTACTGCGCGATGTTGAGCAAAAGAAAACGATGCCATCAACAAGAATAGCGAAAGCAACGACAATAATTCGCAAAGACAGTGTAAACGGCAAAGAGACAAGAGTAAAACGTAACACATCTGAGTACATAAGTATATTTTGTGTGTATTCATACACAGTCATCAGCCTCATCTTCGTCGTTACCAACGCCATCAAAGCGTCGATTTCTTCTTCGTTGCCGTCGCATTTATTATTGCCATCCACCGTATTCACCGTGTCTTCGTTGTTCGCAGCGTCGTTGTCGTTGTCGTCGCTGTAGCATTGACTGTAGCATAGCCTTTTTGCGTCGTTAATCATTATACTTTCAACTGTCACTGAAAACGGCGGATAGCTGGCAATACACGTAAACAAACCACGGTCAATACAAGTGACCAAATGTGGAATGCATGCATATTCCAATAGCGCTACCACCACTATCACCGTTCATTTGCTAACAACTCAAGAAGGGAACAATTCGGAATACAATACGAATTTTCTGTCTTTATACATATTACGTTGCCTTCGTATCGTTGTGCCATTGTTGCGAGTTTACGTCTTTGTGTAATTCTGTGCGTTTGTGTTTAGTCATTTCTTTACTAGTGCGTAATATATTATATATATATATATGTATATGTATCCGTCTCTTTGCGAAATCCTTTCGCCGCTCAATTCGACATTCGCCCACAGTGTTCGCGGTAGTTTGGTCGTTTGGCCAAACGCGGAGTTTGAAGGTTCGCTTGAGAACGCGACAGCAAAACCAATCACATCCTTTTCGCACTCAGACGAGTAAAGGCTGTGTGAGAATTTTGTCTTATCAAACGAAACTAGCGCAATTATTAAACGAATCCGAAACTAAAAAAAGAATATTAAGTGAATAAATAAATAAATAAAGGAAAAATAATCTCACACATGACAAACAGCAGTGGATTTATAAAAACAAAGACTAAGCGAAAGATTGCAATAACTAAATCGTGTTTTGCCGCTGAAAAATATTCCATTTTATTACTATTGTGTGTGTGTGCGCCGATGTGTTCTCAAAATTAACCAAAAGCAAATCATTATTTAAATAAAGTTTCTTTAACAACAACAATGCAATAAAAAGTGCTTCCATTGAAATCAGATCAAATTAAAAAATTAGTAATAAAACTACGAACGTGAAGGCATAATAAGCGCTCTTTAGGAAATTTTGTTTGGACAGTGCTAAAGTGCTAAAATTCTTTGCGAGATGGATGTCGTAGCTGTTTAACTTTCCGATCATAGCTGAGAAGAGAGAAACGAAAGTTATGCTAAGTGATAAAAGTTTCGCAGGATTACGGCAAATTGTTAAAAACGATCTCGTCACGTGAACTTCTATGCATCGATCAATGGCTATCGGTTCAATATAAACCGCTTTTTGCACTAGTTCTAGCAAAAGCTATTTAAAGGACATCTGGCCGTATCGAAGAAAGTTAAAATCGTTGGTGTTTTGAAATTGTTTGCAGTTTTTTAAAATTGTTTCCTGGGGACTCGTTTAATAGAAAAGGTGAGTTGAGAATGTGGCATCAGTTACGACGAATTTTGTTCCAAACACATAATGAAGGAATGAACTTACGGTAGGGCAGGAAGAGAAAGATTTGCAAAACTAAATTACCCGGACCTTAAATGTAAGGTTAAGTGGACCTTAACAGTTAATATCAGTAAAATTTTGAATATGTAAACAATATTTCTGCGAAGGGAAAAAGCTTCTACCATGAAGAGTGTGGTTATTTTGTATATCGCTTCTCTGACAGCTTCGAACTGTTGAAGCGAAACCAGGGATGTTAGATGTTAATGTCATTACAACGTGATCATCAATGTTAACAACTAAGAAAGTTGTGCTCGCCTTTCGCCGGCCTTTTTATATTTACCCATTTTCTCATTCTATCCTAACAAAAAAAATATACTTTTATTTCCATGTGGTGAGAGGGTGTGGCCAGGTTTTCCGGTTTCTCTATAGGTATTGTAAGATTGCTTATAGCATATAAGAAAATTTGCTATTGTCGTATTTGTGGAAGTTTTTGAGTTATCAGTATAAAGGCAAATTTTTTTGCTTTGGAAAATAGAAAGGCTCTGACTTGATGTTTAGTTGAAGGAATGTCCTTTGACTGATTCGAATCGTTTTCAATACCAACCGGAACTTCTGCCAAATTTATTACCGATATATTGACTGTTATTAAAGACTGGCAGGCAGAGGGATAGACATGCCCATATCGATTCGGGTATATGTAGTTCACAGCATCTTTGGAACGTCCTTCTGGCCGTTACAAACTTTCTTTTGCAAAATGTTTATATACCCAAACTCTTCATGATACATATGAAAGCAGTGACTTAGAGTACAGGGCTTTTGTGGTAGAATAGATAGGTGCCCAAAAACACCCTCTGTCCGATTACAGATACTATACCGAATTCCTTTTCCGAATTAGTGTACACGATACGAGTGTTTCCATAAGTCGTTGTTCCACTTATGAAAAGTAAGTTGTACTTTATTGTCGATGAAATACCGCGAGATTTGATAAATTTAAACAAGTATCAACGCTAAATTCGTTTTTTTGTTCAGCCTACGTAAGACAGACATATGTGTATATATAACTTACACTTAGTTCTTTTAAGAGTAAGTATGTTTATAGTCATTTTCAAATATATACAAATCCAAGTTTCCCCCTCTCTCTCTCTCTCTCTCTCTCTCTCTCTCACACACACACACACACTCACACACACACACTCTTCCTATCTCTCTTTCTTTGTTTTCTTTCTCTTTTTTTTATTCAGAAAATGAAATAAAAAATTGCCCCTCCACTGTCTGTGCCCTCCTAAGGACATATCATTTCTGTATTCTTGCCTGACCTGCGGAAAGTTATAAGCGGAAAGACGTTTACCACAAACGGAAAACAAGATCCCATTATCATAGAGCATATCCACTACCAGTTATTAAGCCAGTACCGAAACATCTTTTAACACTGAGTCTTTGGCAAACAGCCTATACCACATATGATCTTTACAGAACTCTTTTTACCTGACGTTTCAAAACACAATTTCGAAACCGGTGTTAAGCTGAAATTTCGGAAATTTTTGGAAAGAACCACGTTTAAATTGCTTAAGAATTCTATAACATTTCAGTGCATCGTACACTGTACTCCCTTAATTGCCCTGCTAATGATCTCTGAAAGGGCCACTGTCCAAAAACGTCTATTTAGGCTGTAAGGTAAATATGCATGAAGATGTACTCAGCTTACATTAAGGGTTAGCTTCTTTTTCCCCTTATGCTTAAGGAAGAATCCTCAGAATAAACAAATTTTATACGAAGATTTTTGTTTAATGTAAAATATTCGTCTAATTGTAAGAAAGTTATATTCGGCGGTGGCCGAATCTCGCATATCCACCACTATGCTTTTCGTATTCTACTCTCCAATTTCGTTTATTTGATGCCCATATCGCTGGTATTATAAAGAAAGAATTAATCGCGTTCCCGATCATATATATATTGAAGTCAACCCAGTTTCAGGCAGATAATATATCTTCATTTGAAGAGTGTACAAAATAGTTTCAAACATTCGATCTCGTTTGCCTTATGACAAATTAGCATAAAACCTCAGAAAAGTGAAAAACCCAAATTTAATTACTTACAACTTTGTGTAGGCAAAACGGGTATTCTCGATTTTTGCACGCAAGGAGTGGAGTGCTGCGTAAAGCAAATGTGGAAAATTTCAGCCTTCTAACTTTTGTAATTTCCGAGTAACGAGCAGAAATCCGAAAATTTTTGTTATAAAAAACGGAGTTGCGTTAAGTTTACGCTCCACTGTGGGCTTCCGCTCCGTTCGATTTGATCTATTTGCAATACCAATCTGCGTGCAGAAACATCCAATGTTTCTACCGAATTTGCAGTTGATATCCTTTTTCTTGCGATCGGGAGAGGGCCAACAACACACTGCACATATGGACAGCCGTGGCTAAATCAATTCAGAACCAAGAATACATACACGCTTATAGGGTCTCTGAGGCTTCCTTTTGGGTTGTTATATCAATAATGGGAAAAAACAAGATGAGTTTACGCCTATCTTACAGTGGTGGGTGTAAAAGCAAAGGGCGAGTTATGGCGGAAAATAGTTTGGTCTTTGAAGCAAATAGAAAGCACTTTTTTATTGTTAGGTTTACATTACCTTCTGCATTCGTTTTAAGGATTATAGAAGAGATTCCCAATAGTAGCGCCCCAACAGGAATCATTAAGGAAAAAATTGTAAGACATTGAAGTGAAGGTTAAACCTTATAAAAGAAAACAGCTATGAAAATTATATAAAGAAGTGGGTGCCGTTGATTTTGTCTATTTTCACGATAGAAGGTTTTGTCGGATAGGCGTATGGGCGTTATAGGCGGGACCTTTGAGAAGCTCAGGTCATTTCCCAATCCTTTTGCAAATTTGTAGTCGATGTCTTCATATTCGCTAACGGGAGAATGTTTGCCACAAATACACCACAGTTGAGCAAACCTACAGATGGGAAGACGAAGAGACGGACACGCTTAGATTCATTCCAAGTTTGGAACTGGCCAAGAATATATATGGGTTTTTAAAACTTTTTTCTAAGCGCTATAAAGATATTGAAAAAAAATTAAATTTCGATACCTACAACATTAGGTGGTAGGTGCTGGTTAATTTTTCCGATCTTTTGCGGGTACTATAGCATCACCCCTTAGGACGTGCGTTTAAATTTTTACTTTTGTTTATAATTAATTAGAAAAAACACCAATTTTTCGTTGCTTTTGCAAACCAGAGGCGTTTTTAACTTACACGGCACTATGAGCATGTCCTTCGAACGTTTTGGCTCATGGGCACTTGCGCGCAAGTATTTCCAATTTTTCTGCCAAATTTGAATTCGATAGCCCATTTTTGCGACCAGGAGAAAGCGTACAATAGACACTACACAGATGGACAGACGGACAAATGGACTGGACCTGCTTAAATGGGTTCAAAATTTGATGCTGACCAAGAATATGTATACTTTGCTAAGTTCCTTAAACTTATTTCCGGAAGAGGCAAACGTTTTCAAAAAATGACTACATATTCTTCATCGTGTGGTGACCTGACCACAACCCCACGCGAACAAGCCCAAGATACTTTAGTAAATTCAACCGCTGTTTATGGTTTGATATCAATATTTAGATTGAGATCTGAGAGCACCTATCGCACTTGAAAGTCCGCTCAAAATTGCCAAAAGACCTAGGAAAGCTCCAAATCAACATTTTCGAAAACAAAAATCCCGCTCGTTTCACATGAAATCATCTAAAAATTTAAAAAAAAAAAGTTTTTTTAATCATTACAGGATTGATTTAAAAATATTTCGGATCTGACACGTGTTACATGTTTCACTTCTCTATCGTATTTATTTGGGATCAGAATTCTAGGTTTTAAAGGATTTCCGAGATGTCAATGAATATTTGCCAACATCTTGAGTTGGAGTAGACCACCACTTTGTTTAATCTCATAGAGAACTCATAAGAAGTTTTCAAGGAAAAAGACTTCTATGGGTTTGCAATACAAAAATCGAATAATTTCTTCTAAGCACAAGAGATTACTAAGACTGGGATTGCCAAGCTTCATAGCGTTTATATAGCTTAAATCAAATAATTACTTTAGCCAAATTTAGATTATCGCTATCCATCATAGGCTGGTCAGTCTCCACTTCATTACAAGCAGAGATCGCAACAAATTTTAAATTATATCTTCTGCATATATCCACTTTGATCGTGTGAACCAGGTGTAGTCTTTCCCGATTAGCAAATCTGTGTGTGTACGTGTGTTTTCAAATATCAACAGCGTGTAATGAGGGACAGTGTTGTTTTAAACTGAATTACAAGCTCTTCGAGTAGCCTCCGAGCATGAGAACTTCTAGATGTCACATAAACAAGGTGGCAACCATCATCAAACGATTGCCGATAGGATAACAATACAATTAGTCAAGCAAGCAAGATTCCAACTGGAACTTTTCCAATAGTCCGGGTCTTCGCATTTTTCGATTAACATCAACAGATATATATATATGTGTACCTGGTGGTGAGAGAACCTAAGTGGAGTTAATCATGTGCTTCTTATGTGATATTCTCAGAAACTTAAAATATTATTTAATTTACAAAATTTTAACCTCAATTATTATTGATGTTTTTTTACTTCCTCTTAGATGCCAACAGAGATGAAATTATGAATTGAACGAATAAAATATGAATGTATCAAATTTCGTCGCTTTCAAGTCTTTGTCTAGGCGATATAGATATTCTTATCTACTTTTATTCTATTCTTAGTACGTTCTTCTTATGCTGTCCTTCTGTCCGATTATTAATAAAGATTTCTAAATTATTCCAAATAAATATTGAACCCTCTTTTAATGCACTGCCCGAATTTCTGAAAAATTTTATTTAAAAATAGCTAGAAGGACTAGATATATATATATATATATATATATCATATATAGATGTATGTATAATCTTCAATATATTTTTGCAAATAATTAGGGT